ACTACTACTACATACGACTACGACTACGACTACGACTTACGGACTACGACTACTACACGACTACTGGATTCTCCTCTCCCATCCTAGGTCATCCTCCTCCTCCTCCTTCTCTACCGCGTCCTCCCTCTTCTCCTCCCTTCTCCTTCCTCCTACCTCCTTCCTCCTCCTCCTCATCACTCCTCCACCTCGTCCTCCTCCTCCTCCTCCTCCTCCTCCTCCTCCTCCTCCTCCTCGTATGCTTCCTCCCTCATCCTCAACCCTCCTCAGCCCTCCTCACGCCCTCCTCCCCTCTCCCTCCCCCTCTCGCCCAGCTCCCCTCGTCCTCCTCCGAGTCGACATGCCCTCCGCCACGGACGGGCGGCCGCCCTGTGGCCTTGCACTGGGCGCAGCCCGCGTGGCGCACGTTCAGCACCAGGGCTTCCACGCCCTCCCGCATGCTGCCCAGCTTGTCCATCGTCGCCTGCTGCGGCCCAGCGGGCCATGCCTCTCGACTCCCTCCTCCGCCACCCCTCCCCCCCCGAGGAAGAAGAGGAGAAGAAACAGGAGGAGGAGGAACGAGAGGAGGGAGCGGTTGGAGCGGGACAAGTGAGAGCACGAGGCGTGACTGCGGGGGTGGTGGTTGTACCCGCGGATGCCGTCGTGCAGGCGGCCGTCTGCATCGAGCCAAGAACCACGGGGGGGGCAGGCACTGAGCTGGAGGAGAGCAGACGAAGAGGATGCGGGCAGAATGCAAAGAGGAGCAAAGGAGAGGAGGAGGAGGGGGAGGGGGAGGAGGAGGAGGAGGAGGAGGAGGAGGAGGAAGAGGAGGAAGAGGAAGAGGAAGAGAGAGAAGTACTGGGACAATGGGGAGAAAAACAAAGAAATAGAGGAGGAAGTAGATCAGAGAGGAGATGAGAGGAGGGAGGAGTGCAAGGACGAGGAGGAGCATGGAAAAGAGGTAGCAGGGTCAACGCGGAGGACGACGAAGACGATGGGGGAAGAGAGGGGGAAGAGACAAATTGAGGAGGACGAGGAAGACGGCAAGAAGTTGTCATGTGCAGAGTGGTTTGTGAGAACTCTGCCAAAAGAACATGTAGATATAGATATACACCGTGCCGCTGGGCACGGAGTGGACGTGCCCTCAGGTCCTTCGCCGACGAATCCCTTGAGCACCCTTGAGGAGCCCTCAAGGAGCCCCCAGGGCCCGATGTCCGAAATATCGTGGGGCTTGTCGCGGCGCCCCGGGGGTTTCTCGCATCATGCCGCTTGACGTTTTCAAGAGGGCCCCAGGATGGGCCAACAAGAGGGCCCCAGGAGGCCCTCAAGACGGTCCAAGAAAGCTCCGAATCACCGAACGATGGCCTCAGGTTGGCCCAAAAGGCCCCCAAGACGCCCAAGGAGGTCTCCGAGAGGCCTCCAAAGAGGGCCCCGAGAGGCAAAAATGGTTGATCTTCCTTGGGTTTTAAAAGGATTCGGGCAATATCGCCTTCTCTGTTACGGCCAAAGAGGCTCCCAAGACCACCCGAAGACGGTCCAAGAGGCCTCCAAAAAGGCCGCCGCAAGACGGCCTAAGAGCGCCCCAAGACGGCCCAAGAGGCGCCCAAGACGGCCCCAAAAGGAGCCCGAGAGAGGGAGGGAACACGAACCGAAAATACCCGAACCGCCCCAAGAGGCCCCCAGGCAAGAGCTCGAAAACAGGTTCCAAGAGGCCCCAAAACAGCCCCCAAGATGCTTAAAAACTGCCTCCGAGAGACCCAACGAGCATCCAAGAGGCTTCATACCTACAACGCAGGCACGGTGGCGGGATGGGCCGAAGGCTATTAGGTAGGGAAAGGGAGAGAAAGGAAGAGAGGGAGAGAGAGGGAGAGGGAGATGGGGATAAAGAAAGAGAGAGAGAGAGAGAGAGAGAGCAAGAAAAAAGAGAGAGAGAGAGAAAGAAAGAGAGTCAGATGTAGAGGAAAGAGTGGGAGAGAGGGATACTGTGAATGTTGCAGTAAACGCCATCCCTATATCGCTCCGCCCTCGACCCCAACGCTTATCAAACCATCCGAAGCACAGCCAAGACGATGATTCAAAAAATGATACCCTAAGAACCCTGACCAAATCTGAATAGCATTCTTCTGAAAATGCTGGAGGAGGGCGCGACCACGCAGTGATGCGCACATGTGTTACGGAGGGCGCCCCTTCCGTCTAAGCGTCCTCCCACAATGGGAATCGAAGGGAGGGAAGGCCGATTAGAGCCCGGGAACCGATGGCGGGAGCGGCACTTCGGCGCGTCCACCAGGCGGTCCGCATCCTCGTGGAGTCTTCTCTGGGCGACAGTGTTGTCTCGCAGGCCTCCGAACGATCGGCGCGACTGCGGGTGGCAGGATTCTGGGAGCGCTGAACCCCCAAAAAATTGGCATCTCTCTCTCTCTCTCTCTCTCTCTCTCTTGGGGACAAGCTTTACTGCCGCCGGCTCTCGGCGACACTCCCACTGGCGGAGCCGCCCTCGCTCTCACTACCTCCACCAGCCTCCTGGCGGCCCCTCCGCCCGCCCCCCGCCGAAGGAAGAGAATGCCAACCACTCGATCCCTCGAAGACGAGGCCCTTTCTGCCGCGCCCCACCCAGACCCCAGACGCATCGGTTTCTTCACAACGCGGAGTCCCTTGAGGTCTCGACCCCCTCCCCTCGGCCAGCTCTCCCGCCTGGGTCGTCTTCCCACTGTCTTGGGGGCGCTTGAGGGCCCTCGGAGGCCGAACATAGCAGAACAACTCCTGGCCGTGGTCTGTGGTCACGACGCGAAGGGATGTAGGTATACGTGGCGTGTTCACGAAACCACGGACCCCCAAAGAATGCATTTTTCAAGAGGGCAACCCGCTCCTCGGCTGGCATACACTGACCTCCCGCCGGCTTCCGCCAGCGGAGGCGGCCTCGTTCTACTTCCGCGGGCTTCTGACGCTCTTCCTCCGCCTTCCGCCAAGGACGAGAAGGCAACCTTTCGATCCATCGACGGCGAGGCCTTGACAGGAACGCCTCGTAGCTGTGTGGCTGGGGGCGGCGAAGTGCGGCAGGACCTGCGCCAGGTGCACCCCAGGTCTTCCGCCGAGTATAAAAATTCCACCCCCTCGACCAGTGGGGGACGACGGGGGGGGGGCGGACTCAGGGGGGGATATGTCGACCTGGAACCGGCGATACACCCCCGACCAGTGTGCGATAGGCCCCACCTAGCGAATCCGCGCGTGGCTGGGCGGGCTGGGCTGTCGGGCCCCCATCGACAATCCATGGGCGATTGGGGGTCGCCGCCTCCTCCCCTCAGCCCATGGCCCCTGACCTTATCCCTCACTGGTCCGCGGCGTATTTTTCCCCAGCGCTATCCTGCTCGAGGACAAACCCCCTTTCTGGAGCGCCCGGTGTGCCGCGGCCTGCGGCAGGTACGCCGAGTGCTCGGCGAAAGCCGCCGGCCCTCCCGCTGAGGGGCGCCCCGCCAGCTCTCCCGCCGAGCGCGCCGCGCACCGGCCGCCTCGGGGTCCATCGACCAAAGAGCAGAAGGAGGAGGCGAGGAGGGCGAAGAGCGGGTTTTTTGACGCGGACCGCTGCAGGCGCCTGAGAGAGTGGGTGCAAGTGAGGCTACGCGCACCTAGGGTAAATCGCGGCCGGGCAGAGAAAAAACACCGCCGTGAGAGCACGAGCCTAGCAAGCAGAGTCGAGGGACCCCTCGGCCAACTCTCCTAGCGGAAGGCCGCACAGGGCAACCAACGAGCTCAAGAACAACGTCACCCGAGGCATCTTCAGGTGGAGACCCCTGCACATTCTGTGCCACGAATCAGGTGTCCGAAGCTTGCCATCAACGGCGGGCGGAGGCCCTTGCAGGCGAGAGCCAGATTGGCTGACCTTCGCCCCGACGTCCAGCACTGGCACGTCTGACAAAATCAAGCGAATGAAATATCGGAGCAATGGACAACCCAACCCGAGTGCCAGAGAAGAAAACGTGCCGAGCTGGACCTTACAGTGCCTGGAACAGGTGCCTGGGGAAGATTCTACCACCCTGCCAAAGTATTTGACCTGACTGCGATTTTTCCCCTGAGACAGCGCACGCGCTGCCCAACACCGCAGCGCGCACTGGACAACTCACGAACGTGGCTGGGCGGCGCAGGCGGCCGTCTCTCCGGACGCTCGCATGGCACCCCATCCAGACCGAGCGAGGCCAGCGCGGGAAAAGACTAGCCACTAGGGTCGGCATGGCCTGGGCGACACCAATAGAACGCGAAATAACATCCCTTGAGGGAAGGATCATGCCAAGGATGCTGCAACACTCCTCTCTTGGCCGCGCCGTCGGCCAGATGACTGCCAATGCGTAAGAGATGCACCGCCTCATCAACCGATTCGTCGATGTCTTGGTGGGCCTTGACCATAGACACACTGGCACAATAACTCTCATGACTCATAGCCAGCAAAACACTGCAGCTGCAAACAAGTTTGCGACGGACCCGCTCGGCAAAAGAAGGTAAGTTAAACTGCTTGGAAAAGTTCAGGCTGTCTGCATACGCGCGGCGAAGGCCGCCTGCCGAAAAGGCCGCACCCCTCATAGACAAGCACTCACTACTTTGATTCGCTGGGGGGTAGGACTGCAGACAGGTGCGATGACTGTACAACGCAGAGTGCTGTCTGGACTGAATTCAGAGAAGCAAGCAGCATCCCTCGACAACTCCACGACGGGGCCCCTGGCGCAAGAGCCATCCATAAAAACGCGCCCCTCGAAACCACCCCTGCATGACTAGGATCGCTGAGCCATTCGACCGGCGCGCTTTCGTCGGCAAAGGGGGACGAGATGACAGGGATAATTGGAAGACCCCGGATCCAAAGAAGCAGGCATTTAAAGATCTCTAGAGGCTTCTAGACTCGAAAGGGTCGACGGGGAACTCGCCCTCCGAATCCACGCACCTAAACTTCCAAACTTGCAAAACAGCGGGTCAGGCTCGCCAGAGATATAACACAGCAAAGAACATTGGCATCCCAGGGAGGCGGCCCGATGCCTGGTCCAGGGGGCACCAGATAGGACCGAGTTGACACTGGCAGCATGGAGGGACGAGCACTTCGAAGACTTAGCAGCCGACATAACAACAGTAAAGCACAACCTACCTTGATTACCTAGAGAATCAGTAGCAGACCGCTCAAGAGATTTCACATCACCCTCTCTGAGAAATGTACCGACTAGTCCTGGCGGCGCCACGGGAAGTGAGGCGCCTTCCTGAAGTCATTAGAAACGGCGAACTAGCACTTCATTACCCCATCTATCCTGGGAAGCGACAACTTCAGCGCACCGACGGTTACATCCACCCTTCTCTAAGAAGGTCCTTCCTACCGAAGGTAGCCGACCAAGCTTGCCTGGGCGCCTGCATAGGGAGCGAGCGCAATGACGCCAGACGCCCGAACCCACACTTCGCTGCCCCGCCGGAGGATGGTGACCACCGCCGCTAGCCACCAAGGGCAACTTCCAGCGGTCATTCACTTGGAAAGGTTTCTGCCGCGGGCCGCAGGCTGCATTGGTTTGCCCAGCGATCTACCGGGATGGAGGAGTTCTCCGCCATTGCAGTTGTGAGCTTCACCACCAAGCACGATGCAAGAAAGCGGACCCGCCGTGCACCATCCTCTTGCAACGCTTGCTGGGACCCGCCTTCAGCCCGACAACAAGAAGAGCGCGACTGCGACAACTCGCAAAGCGAAGCTCGCGGCCAAAACCTCTTACCTTCGTCCTCCTCGGCTTACCCTGCGCGTCGTCGCACCCCGGGCAGGCAACTCCCACCGCCGCGGGCTCTGGAAATCCCCGGAGGGCCCCCGCAGTTCCTTTGCAACTCTCGAAGAGGACGAAATTAAGCAGGCCTTGTCGGCCGCGACCCCACTACCATTATCAAACCACACCGAGCCACCACAATCAATCGCGATCGTCTAGACCCCTGTTCCCGTTTCGCATGGCACCACCGCCTCCGCCCGCACCGCACCGCGCACGTGCGCGAGGCTAGCGATGGCGCGCCGTCGAAGCCCGACCCATCCTCCATCAGGCCGTCTGCGCCGGGGGCCCCCCCCCCGCCCTTGACCCCACCCCCGCCCCCGGCGGAAAGATGGAGGCCCACGGGCAGGAGGGGGGGCCCCGCCGCGGCGGCGCCCACCAGAGGGCGAGGGTTCCAGGGGATCCTGGAGGCGCGCCATGTCCAGGCCCCCGGGCAAGCCCCCGCCCCGAAGGGTCGCGCGGAGCCCCGCCGCTGCCGACGCTCGCAACTACCCGGCTCCCGCCTGCAAGGCGGCGCCCGAGAAGCACTCGAGCGGAGCCGCCGCCACGGCCCCGGGCGCGCACGTCGCCCGCTGCGCCCGCGGCAGCCGCCCGAGGCGGGCGCCCCACTTGCGGCGGCCGCCCTCTCCTCGGCGACCGCGTCGAAGAACTCCTGGGAGGCCTGCGCCATCTCATCGAGCACGCGCAAACTCAGGTCCGCGATCGCCACGGGGATCCTGAGGGACTCGTCAGAGCCAGCGTCTCCATGATGCCGAGGTCGCCCGCCTCCTGATTCTCCTCGCGCGGACCGCAGCCCCTCCGAGGGCTCGACGAGGAGGACCGTCAACGGCCACTTTGTCGACATGGCCTTGGGCGTCTCGCAGGCGCCCCCCACGTTGCCCGTCGATTCCGCCACCTCGAAGCTCGCGCCCTCTGGCGGGAGCTTCCGGGGCCCCCAGGATAACTTCACGCAGAAGATCGCGCCGAGGAGCTCCAGCGCCGCGATAACCCAGTTTGGGTCGTCTGCCTTGGCTCGCGCCCATGGGAACCAGGCCTCATCCACCTCCAGCGTGCACCAGTGGGCTCCTGAAGCGCCCCCGCCCACAACGGCGCGCCGCAGCCGCCTATCCAGCGGCGCCCCGCCTCTGCCTTCACGCCCGACCGGAGATGCCCCACGCTTTCGGTTTCGAACTTGGCGGGCGCTTCCAGCTTCTGCCATCCTGCCAGCCGCTCCACGACGAGCCTGGCATGTAGCACTCGCGGGGTACCACTAGTGGCAGCTCTGGCATCCTGCGCCATGGACCGCTGGTCATCGCACGTACTGGCGCGGCCGTCAAACCACCGCCCACAAAGGCGAGACGCCGAGGTGGGAACCAGCCGTGGTCGTCGTAGCGCAGCACCGCTCAGACCTTGACGAGACGAAGCCACGACACCCCGCGAAGGTACTTCGCGAGGCCCTCGTCCGCGATCAGCTGCTTCAGGGCCCCAATGAACGCGCCGGTGAGTTGGGCCGTCCTCATCGTCAGATCTTTGCCGGCGCCGAGGAGCATCTCCGTGTTCGCGACGACCTGCTGGAGCTCCAGCCGAGCGGAGAATCCAGCGCTCGGGTCGGAGCCCGCCGCGCGCTCGATGCAGGCCAAGGCGCGGAAGACCTTTTTAGGCACCGTCGGCCCACACGGCTCGGAAGCCCTGGCGTGCACGGAGTCGATGAAGTGCACGACCGACTTCGGTCACGGAGCCATCGGCGCATCGTCCAACCGCAAGCACACACGACCTCAATGTGATGAGGCGCGCGCGGCCCGTGATGCCATCCAGCGCCCGCCCCGGGTCCATGCAGGACCGCACCACCTCCAGCGAGGGCGCCTCCATCTCGCTGGGCAGCCGGCGCAAGCGAGGCCTCCAGCGAGCCCGCTCTCGGGCCTCCAGCTCGCCGCGACTCGCCGCTCTCCTAGACGGCGGCGCGGCACGTCCGCACGCAGCGGGTTCCCGCCAACGCGCGGGCCCCTGGCGACGGAACGGCCCCACGCCACCCCCGATCGCACACGGCCGAGAAGCTCGCCGCTACGGCACGGCGCCCTCCAGCAGCGGAGCGCACGAAGCCGCTCCTGCAGCGACTCCTCGTCCACAGCCTGGACGAAAACCCTCAGCGGAGCCCGTGGTTCCTCCACACTGGGGTCCGCCGCCACCTGTCCGAGCGTTTTTTTTGAACTCGCGCCTGCTCGCCTGCAGCGCTACGCGTGAGCCGAAAAGTCCACAGCCATGCAGCGCCCTTGCTGACCCGCCGACGCGCGGCGTCGAGGGCGCACGGCCCAGGGGCCAGCATCTCTGCGCCCAACCGTTCTTCAAAAACGGCCGAGCGCCTGCGCCCAAAATAGCAGCAAACGTCGAGCAGCAGAGGAGGATACACTTACGTGTTGGCACACGGGGGCGAGGTGTCGAGGGCTCTCCGCACGGCAGCCAACACCGCTGTAGCGACGGCGTGCCGGGCAACCCAGCCGATGCTGCCCCCGTGGCAGCAGCAAAGACATACTGCGCGGATGTAGGAAAATGCAGCAGGACCGCTGCCATGCCGGGCGCCGTGCTACAAGAAAGGGGCGCGCGCGGGCTTGGCTCTTGAGCCAAGATGGCTAATAGAAGAAGGATGAGGAGGAGGGCAAGAGGAGGAGGCTGAGGAAGCGGAGGAGGAGGCGGAGCAGGAGGAGATCGTCTGCTGGCAAGCTGCGGCAGCGGCAAACAATTATCTGATGGCGAGCGCCGTATGACGCCGTTGCTGGAGGAGGGTGAGGAGGAGGACCCTCGTGAAAAGAAGAGGAGGAGAGGAGGAGGAGTAGGAAGGGAAAAGGAGGAGGAGAAAGAGGGGGAGGACAACGTAGCCTGAAGGCGGGCACTGGATGACCGCAGGAAGCGCTGAGCGCCAAACGCGCGACACCAGTCACCCTTTTTCGGTCTCAAGTCCCGGGGCTTAGCAAGAGCCACACGAGGCCGAAAGCGACAAACAAAAATCCGCCGTGCCTTCTTCGTGACGCAAGAAGATCCAGGTGCAACACGAAAAGCACAGTGCGGAGGCCACCAAGCGGAACGGCGCGACAGCCGCGCTCATACTGGTCCTCCTCCGCGGAGCCGAGCTTGTCGTCCTCCCGGGCCCAATCCCGCTCCATGACCTCGCGGGCACGCGAAGGAGGGTCGAGGGAGGGGGGAGGGAGAAGGGAGGAGGGAGGAGGGAGGAGGGAGGAGGGAGGAGGGAGGAGGGAGGAGGGAGCAGGGAGGAGAGAGGAGGAAGGAGGGAGAAGGGAGAAGGGAGGAGAAAGGAGGGAGGATGTCCCTGGTCCAAGGTGCCCCCAGCTCTTCGCTCCACTTTGAAAGCCCTGGATCCGCCTGAGCCTCGTGACGAGTGCTCTGGAGGCCGTGGGGGCCTCCTTGGGAATCCTGGGGGCCCCCTGGGCCAGTGGCACTTCCAAGAACACCTGGGCGGGGGAGACAGAGGAGGAGGAGGAAGGAGGAGGAGGAGGAGGAGGAGGAGGAGGAGGAGGAGGAGGAGGAGGAGAGGAGGAGGAGGGGAGGAGGAGGAGGAGAGAGGGAGGAGGAGGAGGAGGAGGAGGAGGAGGAGGAGCGCGGAGAAGAGGAGGAGGAGGAGGAGAGGAGGAGGAGGAGGGGAGGAGGAGGAGGAGGAGGAGGAGGAGGAGGAGGAGGAGGAGGAAGGAAGCATGAGGAAGAGGAGGAGCGCGGAGAAGGAGGAGGAGGAGGAGGAGGAAGGAGGAGGAGGAGGAGGAGGAGGGAAGGAGGAGGAGGCGAAGGAGGAGGAGGAGGAGGAGGAGGGCAGGAGGAGGAGGAGGAGGAGGAGGAGGAGGAGCGGCGACGACAGAGCAGGAGCACGGAGCCAGAAGGCAGGCGACTCGGGCGCCGCGCCGTGGGCCTCGCCCCTCCCCGACCGGGGGAGGGCAGCTCGGCTTCCCGGGGCGCTCGAGCGGCCATCGAGAGGGCCTCGGAGGCGTGGAAGAAGCAAACACTGGCAGGGGGAGAGGGGGGGGAGGGGCCCAAGAAGCCACAAGGGGCCCCCAAGGGGCCCCCAAGAGGCGCCTCGAGAAGCCCCTATGAGGCCCCCAGGAGGCCCCGACTCGGCCCCCAAGAGGCCTCGAAACTGCCTCGCAGAGGCCCCCGAGAGGCCTACCACGAGAGCCCAACCAACATCCATGAGGCCTCTGACCCACCGCCCAGGCACGAGGCGGAGGACCGAGAGGACGGCGACGGCGACGGAAGCGAGCGAGGAAGAGGAGGCCTTCGCAGCAGAAGCCTGCTCGGGAGACGGGCGCCCCCCCCGAGGCTCCAGGATACGTCAGCCGCGGAGGCAGGAGGGGAGGTCAAGGTGGCGACCACCCGTCCAGTCTCCCCTGCGAGGGACCGCGCCCTCGGCTCCAAGTCAAGTCAAGGTGTCCAAGAAGTTGGAGGAAGTGCGCACGTGTTGAGGTCGAGTCCACAACGAAAAACAAACCGTACGTGAATCGAGATCGCATCCAGCCCGAAAAATACACAGGGACGTACCCGACCCGTTCTGCACGCACGGCGACTGTAATCAGGACATCTTCATTCCTAAATGATGCACGAACATATCTGTAGCCCGATGAACACTTCGCCAAAGGACGCCTGACATGCCCAGTGCCCTCCATTCAGACAGTAATTATTGCAAGTAAGACCAGACGTAAGACACCACTCTGATGGACCTCCCAGGAGCCCACGAAAGCGGCGACGGCTGCGCAGTTCGCAGCCCCGCACGGAGAGCGAGGTCTGGTTCTGATGTGCGCTGGACACCACCCCGCTGGATCTCCCAGGAGCCCCGAAAGATGCGACAGTTGCGCACTTCGCAGCCCTGATGGGAGGGCGAGGTCCAGTTCGGATGTGCTGAGGACACTCTGAGGGGCCTTCCCCCGCGGCGTCAACCACCGGATCACCAGTTTGAGAAGTCTACCTGAATGGGCCCTGGGACACACCGAACAAATACAAACAAACAAAAAGATTCCCCATAATTTTACATATTTTTGGGAAATTCGTCTTCCCCCCCCCCACACACACTTCCCATATTTCCCTACATTTTCTGGGGGATCGACGATTAATTGTGTCTGAGTTTCTTCCCTCCTGACTACCGCCGTCTCGGTGCGCGTCGGCGCCGCCCAGAATCTCGTCCGCTCTGAACCAGACTGGAGATGCGTCGACGTAGCCGCGAAGCGGTGGTCAGAGGCACAGGGAGGTACTGAGGGCCAGCCGGCAGGAGGAGGAGGAGGCGGATGAGGAGGAGGAGGAGGAGGAGGAGGAGGAGGCGGAGGCGGCGGCGGAGGAGGAGGAGGCAGAGGAGGAGGACGAGGAGGAGGCGGAGGCGGAGGCGGAGGCGGAGGAGGAGGAGGAGGAGGAGGAGCGACACTGGCCAGCAAGGGAAGGGCGGACAAGGGAAGCAGGACGATCCAAGCAGAGAAGAGCGAGAGACAGCAACAATGGAGGAAAGATAATCCGCTGCCCTTCTAGAGGGCTATCCCACCATCGGACAGCGAGGCGAGCCACAACGCAGCGGAGACTCACGACCCCGTACATCTACCATAAAAGTTACGGATAGAGTCATCTCTCCGTTCCAACTGCTGCAAACGAGCCTCGACATGTTTCCGCAACCGGGCCGAAGTTATAGAAGAGTGTGTTAAATCATGGTAGGCTTTGCTGTATATGTCGAGGGCTAGAACAACGGAGGCAAGCGTCTCGTGAGGCATGGGAAAATGACGCCAAACACACAAGCGATCTTGCCATCCACCGTACTGGAAGAAGTTAGGGAGAAGGGGGAAAAGGAGAAGAAGAGGTTCAAAGGTGGGGCAAACAACAATGTGCCTCAGACAATCGCCCCGGGAGGCATTGCAGGCGCGGCAGCGCTGTGCAATCCCGAACCGACCAGTCGTGCACCACGCATTGCACAACGTGCGAAGGAAGGAGGAGAGGACACACAGAGGGAGGAAGGGAGAAAGCTCGGTGATTACCGTGGTCAGGGACATCTCCTGATCCTGAGTGAGGTCAGGGTCAAACTTCCGAGCACGTCGCACAAGCACTGTGTTGCACAAGTAGCTGGAAGAATCTATCAAAAAGGCCTCAACCTTCTTCTGACGGTGGGAGGAAGGAGGAGGGAGGCCCGGCAGAGAAGAGAGGGAATGCCAGTTTTCGAGCATATGTCGAAAATGCGGTTCCCGCCAAAGCGGCTGGAATTTCCATGCAATGACACAGTCGTCGGCGGAGGCAAAATCTGAGCAGGGACTTGATGTCAAAGAACGCTGAGGAGGAGGAGGAGGAGGAGGAGGAGGAGGCGGAGGAGGAGGTGGAGGAGGAGGGGGAGGAGCAGGAAGAGGGAGCCGAGCGTCGCGCCCACCCTTCGCGGGAGGAAGGTCGGGCAGCAGCACCCTGCACGGGGGGGAGACGAGGCGGCCCCCCCTCCGCATGGCAGAGCGGGGGCAGCAGTGCCAGGCAGGGAGCGGGCAGCGTCTCCCCCCTCGTGCTCCGCCTCCTCCGCCTCCGCCTCATCCTACACCTGCGCACTGCTGTCCTTCTTCTCCGCATCCGCACCCTCATCACCCACCCCGTCCACGTCCTCATCCTCAGCCATTCCCGTCCTCCTCCTCCTCCTCCTCCTCCTTCTCCTCCTTCTCCTCCTCCTTCTCCTCCTCCTTCCCATCCTTCTCCTTCTTCTCCTCCTCCTCCTCCTCCTCCTCCTCCTCCTCCGCCTCCGCCTTCTCCTTCTCATTCTCCTCCTTATACCCCTCCCACTCCTCCTCGCATTCCCCATCCTCATGATCATAATCAGCCCTTTGCCTCCTCATCCGAAGCCTTCTTCCCAGCATTCTCCTCCTCCTACTCCTCCTCCTCCTGCTCCTCCTCTTCCTACTCTTCCTCTCCCTCTGCTGATCCTCCTCATTGACATCACCGCCATCATCAATCACTCCCATCATGATCAGCGTTATGCCAATCATGCACGCACTATTCAAATTGACAACTTCATCCTTACCATACAGCGTAGCATCATCATCATCATCATCATCATCATCATCATCATCAGCATCATCATCATCATCATCATCATCATCATCAGCAGCAGCATCATCATCATCATCAGCAGCATCAGCAGCATCAGCATCATCAGCATCATCAGCATCATCATCACCATCATCATCGACATTATTATCAGTATCTTCATCGTCATCATCGTCATCGGCATCGTTATCATCACCATCATCATCATCATCGACATCACCCTCTTCAACATCATCGTCATCCTCATCATCATCATCAGCAGCATCATGATCATCGGCATCCTAATCATAATCATAAACAGAATCCGAATCATCAGCAGCCTCAGCATCATCATCATCAGCATCATCACCACCATCATAGTCATCATCCTCAGCAGCAGCAGCATCAGCAGCAGCATCTGCATCATCATCATCATCAGCAGCATCAACATCATCAACATCAGCATCATCATCAGCATCAGCAGCACCATCCTCGCCATCAGCATCACCATCAGCATCAGCATCACCTTCATACCGTTATCATCATCACGATGGTCATAATCATCATCATCAGTATTATCATCATCATGATCATCATCATCATCATCATCATCATCATCGTCATCAGCATCATTGGCATCATCATAATCATAGTCAGCATCATCGTCATCAGCATCATCAGCAGCAGCATCATCGTCAGCATCATCAGCATCATCATCATGAGCATCACCATCGTAATCAGCATCATCATAAGCAGCATCCGGATCATAATCATCAGCGGCAGCAGCAGCATCATCATCACCGTCGTCGCCAAAATCGGCATAATCAGCATCATCATCACCACCATCACCATAATCAGCATCATCATCATCATCATCATCATCATCATCATCATCATCATCATCATCGCCATCATCATCACTATCGTCATCATCATCAGCAGCAGCATCATTATCACCACCAGAATCAGTATCATCATCGTCATCATCATCGTCATCATCGTCATCATCGTCAGCATCATCATCATCATCATCATCATCATCATCATCATAATCATCATCGTCGTCATCATCACTATCGTCATCATCATCAGCATCATCATCAGCACCAGCATCAGTATCATCAGCATCAGCAACAGTATCGTCATCATCATCGTCGTCGACATCACCATCATCATCATCATCAGCATCACCATCATCATCAGCGTCAGCATCATCGTCATCATCATTACCATCGCCATCATGAGCAGCATCATCATCGTCGTCATCATCATCAGCAGCATCATCGTCGTCGGCATCACCATAATCACCAGCACCACCATAATCACCATCATCATGATCGTCATCGTCGCAAGTATCATCACATCGTCATAAACATCATCACCAGCATCGCCATCAGCAGCAGCAGCGACAAAGCCATCATGATCAGCATCATCAGTATCCGTCGGATCGTCATCGTCATCATCATAAGCATCATCATCAACATCGTCATCCTCATGAGCACCATCATCATCCTCATCATCATTAGCAGAACCATCATTATCACCATCACCGTCATCGTTATGTTTGTCGTCGTCGTCCGCATCATCATGATTATCATCAGCATATCGCGTTACCCTCGCGAATCTCGTACAACTGATATCCGCCTTTATCGCCATCACGATCATCATCATCATCATCATCATCATCATCATCATCATCATCATCATCATCATCATCATCATCATCGTCATCATCATCCCTCATCGTATCCTCATCCTGGCCATCCTCCTTCCCCTCCCTCTCCTTCTCAATCCCCCTGCTCCGTTCCCTCCGGAGACGAAGCCTGGCCTTGCGGTAGCGGCCCGCGTCGGTCACAAGGGAATCCCACGCCGACGGGAAGCGCTTGGCAAGGGTGACCAGCACAGACTTGCCTCTGGGAGGATGGCAAAAGGATGAGGACGAGGAGGAGGATCGACGATCGAACTGTTTGAACATCTCTTGTGCCTCGTCTCATCCCCCGCCTCCCCCCTTCATCCTTTTATTCTTCCTCAGCCTCCAGGCATCGCCACCACACCACCAACATTAGAATCGTCACCCTACGAAAACAATAACGGCTAAATGCGCATCACTATCACCACCCTCATCGTCAACAATATCCGTATTGTCGTCTTCCTCATCGTCATCATCGCCATCATCATCCTCATCCCTATCCTCATTGCCATCCTCATTATCATCCCCATTATCCTCATCCTCACTACCACCACCACCACCACCACCATCATCAAGACCATTATCACCATCGTGAGCATCACGACAGCCGTTTTTCACTCGCATTCCAGGCACCCCTGGTGTGAAGTTCGCTAGAGCAGGAAAGCGCCAGGCTCGAAATAGTCTGGGGCCGCGGCCGTGCGCGATCAGGCTAGTCCGACTGACCATACCGCCCTGGCAATCTTAAACAATTCAAAAGAGGAAGGGAACCAGGGCGGGAGAACTTGACGTGTATCGCGCTCATTCCACACCATTGTCACATCCGGTGTCCTCTCATAACAGCCGTTTTTCACTCACGCTCAAAGCACCTCTGGCGTGAGGTTTGCGAGAAAAGGAAGCCGTCATGCTTGAAATAATCTGGGGCCGTGCGCGAGCGGGCCACTCCGACTGGCCAAACTGCCACGGCTGCTTTTACACTTCCAACCACCACCGCTGTTCGCCAGTTTGCACTGTGATTAGACTATCTTACCGCTAGCGCATGAGCGCCAGCAGTGGCGGGCACAGGCAGCACGCTCCGGCGCGGAGGCAACGCATGCTGTCCACTGAATGCGACTGCGTCAATGCTTCGCCGGACGCGGGCAGTACGACCGCTCGAGACGAAGAGGAGGAGAAGGAGGGAGCTCAGCGAGCCGGACTTGTCTGGGCGCCCATGCGCCAGAACGCGCAAGATTACTTGCCTGCCAGGGCAAGCGGGGCCAGAGCAGCGGGCACTCAACGCGGCCCTGAAGCGCCGCTGCCAGATTCAGAGCACACACGTCGACCGCACGGACAGAACGCGCCCTCCGGGCCGACGTTCAGGGTCGCCACCTTGCACGGGGCGCCCCCCGAAGAACTCCACCACGTCGGGGGAGGGCCAACTCTGGCTCCCCCAGGCCACGCATGCTGTCATCGAACTTGCCCTGGTCGCCATCGCAGGCCTTGATCTGCCTGGGGCCGCAGCGCACAAAATGCTGGGCTCGAAGCCCTCGCGCGCGTAGGAGAGCTGGTCGCGCTCCTGCCAGGCGCAGGGGATCAGATGGCGGCTCGCGCCGGCATTGGTCAGCAGCGGTGGCGCGCGAAGAGGAAGGGCATCGGCAGGTCGCCGCTCTTGAGGAACTCGTGCGACGAGAGGACGCCCTCCAGGACCTGCACCAAGCGCTTCGCAACGGCGCGCCTCTTCTTGCCGCGTTTGCAGATCTCGTCCGCAGCGCTCTCGAACTCATCGAGCCCTGGCGAGCGGAATGGAATCACGGCGGCGGCCGCTGTTGCTCTTGCCCAAGCCGCCCCACGGCAGGGCGCGCACGAAGAGCTCGGCGAGCGCCCCCTCGCGGGTCGGGCAGACCGGCTGGCCCACCAGGCCCAGGTTGTCCTCGGCGACGCGCGCGAGCGAGACGATGCTCGCCGGCCCTGCGAGCGGGGGCACCCCCATGCCGGGGATGCCGGCCCCGCGAGCGGGTGCAGCCCCAGCGGGGGCACTCGCAACCCACCCCCAGTGGATCAACCCAGATCGACATGCTCACCACGTCGCATTCGCGAACATAGTTCGCGACAAGCGAGCGCAAGCCTCGTCCTTCCACAACGCCCGCCGGAATGCAGTCCGCGGCCCATGAAAGGGGGGTCAACTCCTCCGCGGGCCCCAGGGCCGACATGGCGAAGGGAAGGTCCTTCTCGAGGCACATTGCTTGGCGGCGCGCACTAGGGGGTGGGGGGAGGGGGGAGGGCTTCTTAGAAGCAGGCTGCTTATTAGAAGGCGCCGGCCCTACATCTATAGATAAGGCCCGCGCCTTCTCAGAAGCAGGGGTGCTTCTAAGAAGCCCCCCCCCCTCCCCCCACCCCCCTCTGCGCGTGGCCGAATTGCGGCGAGGCTCTGGAACCTTGGGCCCCCGGGAAAGCGGAGAGCGCAGATCGACCCCCGCGCCGCCCCGTCGCGGAGCCGCCGCCCACCTCGGCATCCCCGCGGAGGACGGCCACAGGCGCGCGGGCGCCCACGTCGTAGCGGAGCTCGCCCTCCGCGGCGCGGGAGCAGGTGCGCGGGCCCACGAGGTTGTCTCCAGCCCCCCCGCCGACCTCGAGATACTTGCCGACCCCCTCCGAGGCCCGCGCACCCGACGCGGCGGCGCGGCCGCTGGCGCGGAACTCGATGGGCCCAGCGACGGCGCGCTCCTCCGCACGGCTGTCGCTGGCCGCCGAGATCGAGGACCTCGCTGCCCGCCCACAGCTCGACGATCCAGATGCCCTCGCCCAAGGAGCCGCAGCTCTGCTTGAACGCGCGGGGCTGACACGCCATCGCCTCCTCGAAGCCCGCAGCGGAATCCGCCGCGTCGCAGAACGTGAGCGCGCCCTCCAGCCCGACGCTCACGCGCGCGACCTTGCAGAGCGCACCCCCGGGCGCTCGCGACTTCCATCACGTCCGGGGACGGCCGCGCCTGGATGCCCAGGTCGCTCACGGCTTGCACGCCATTGTCGACCGCGCCCAGGTCGACGCCGTGGGCCAGCAAAACAACCAGAAACTTCACTGCAAGCACTTCGGCGTAGACACCCCTGACCCGGTCCCCGGACGAAGAAGTCGAAGGCCTTGCACACTTCAAGTGGCGGTGGATCATATGGGAGCTCATGCCCCGCTGATCACGCCGCTGGCGAACGGAATGAAGTCGCAGCAGCGGCCGTTGCTGCTCTTGCCGAACCCGCCGCAAGGCGCGCTGCGCACGTAGGTCTGGCACAGGTCGCCCTTGAACTTGGGGTCGGCAGGCTGCGGCAGGAGGCCGAGGTCGCCCTTGGCGACGCGGGCGATGCCCGAGACGCCCACTGGGCCGGGGGACGGCGCTGGCCCCGAGAGAATGGAGGGCGCCGTGCTGCCCAGCGGGACAGCGTAGCGGCCCGCCCCGGCCAGGTCCTTCACAGCGACGTCGGTGCACCACGCCACCGGCGCGTCGTTCTCGCGAAAGGCTGGCAGGCGCTTGGAAGTGCCCACGCCGGAACAGTTGCACTCGACAGCAACCCATGTCTCCTCCGAGGCCAGGGCTGCCTCCAGCAAGGCCAGGACGAATCGGTGGTCCACCACAGGGAGGAAGGCTCCGAGGCTAGGCCCAGCGCCAGCATCATACGTGGCAGGTCCCTGGCCAGGAAGTTCGTGGTCAAGCTCGGAAACTCGGGCTCCTCGGGGCCACAGAGCGTGTCGAACGAGCCCGTACCGCCGACGGCCGAGATGCCACCCTCCCTCGGCCTCCCGCGGCTGATGCCGACTCGCGCGTCCATGATCATGTTGTAGCGCAGCTCGCCCTTCACGACGCACGGGCTGGAGGGCTGGTCGACGAGCATGCCTCCTGCCACCTTGCCGCCCTCCAGGCACTTGCCGTTGCACTTGGAGGCCCAGGTACCGGACCTAGACGTGTAGCCGCTAACACAGAACGCAATGAACTCAGCTACGGCGTGTACATCGGGGTGGTTGTCGTTGGCCTCAATGAGGTCACGGACCTCGGCGTCGGCGCAGGAGCGCTCGCCGAAGGACTTGCAGTGGTTGCCAGCCTTCAGCTCGATGATCCAGATGCCCTTTCCGAAGGGAGCGCGGTTCTGCTTCGTCCGGCGGGGCTGGAAGGCTGCGGCCCTCTTGACAGTGGTCGCGAAGTTCACGGGGGTCGCAGGACGAGCGGGCATCCTCCAGGCCGATGTTTATGCCAGCCACCTTGAGCAGCGCGTCAGTAGCCCACATGAGTTCCATCACGTCGGGAGACGCCCCGACCTGGATCTCCTTTTCGCGCACGAAGCGCAGGCCATCGTCCAACCTGCCCTGGCTCCAACCGTCGGCGCGGAGCTGCCCCCGGATGCGGCGCACGATGACGAAGTCAAACTTGGAGCAGACCGTGAAGATTGCGTCGTGCTCCTCGTGGGAGTAGCGGACCAGCTGGCAGCTCGTACCCGCGCTGATCATGCCGCTGGCAAGCGGGATGGAGTCGTAGCGGCGATGGTTAGAGCTCTTGTCCAAGCCGCTGGCGCTGCAGCCGGGCAGGCACTCGGAGACGCCCAGGCAGGAGCAGTTGAGCTCGCCCACAATCCACCTTTCTTCCGAAGTCGGGGCTTCCTCCGGCGAGACCAGGATCATCCCGCACAGGGGCATCGGCTCCAAGGCCAGCACCAGCACTGGCGCAGGTGCGCTCGCCGTAGCTCCCCTGCAGCAGTTCCCTGCCGTCAGCTTGATGATCCAGGTGTCCTCGTCCGAAGAACCGCGACTCTGCTTCATCACACGGGGACGGAAGGTCATGGTCTTCTTGAAAACCGGCTCGAACAAGGGGGAGTAGCAGACAGATAGCTCCTAGAAAGCCATCCACGTAACAGCCCGAGTCGCATCGGGCGAGTCAAAGCATCCGTGGAGGAAGCACCCCGAAGCACCTCAAGCGGGCGCGCTTGAGCCCAGAAAACTTGAGCGTGTATCGCGCCCATTCCACAATATGTCAATTTCCGCTGTGCTCTCTTCCTCCTCCTCCTCCTCCTTCTCCTTCTTCTCCTCCTCCTCCTCCTCCTCCTCCTCCTCCTCCTCCTCCTCCTCCTCCTCCTCCTCTCCTCCTCCTCCTCCTCCTCCTCCCTCCCCCTCCCCCCCCTCCCCCCTCTTCCCTCCTCCCTCCTCCCTCCTCCCTCCCCCCTCCTCCCTCCTCCCTCCTCCCTCCTTCCTCCTTTCTCCTCCCTCCTCCATCCTCCCTGCTCCCTGCTCCCTGCTCCCTCCTCCTTCCTCCCTCATCCCTCCTCCCTCCTCCGTCCACAATTACACAACATTCATACTCTCCTCTCTCCCCTGGTGGCGTCCCGGGAAGGTCCGACCCCCCTCCGCCTACTGGTGTTTTACGCACAAGATTCCCGGGAGTTGGGTTTTCGCTTAAGTTTGTTCTCAAAAGGCTGCTCTCGCGAAGCGTTGGCCTCATGTTCGGACTACCGCTCGTTCCGAATCGTGCTCCCGCTGCAGCGCTGGCCTTATTTCCGCGCTTCCGCGCGTTCCGAGTCGTGCTCCCGCTGCAGCGCTGACGTCATTATTTCCAGCGCCATGCCACGGCATGGTTTTCGGTCCTTCCAAATATGCCCCAAAATCTAAAAAGCGCCCCCCCCCCCGAAAAAAACATCGGAAGTGATTACAGATTCGGTGCCGATTCGTTGATTTCTTGGGCCGCGGAAGCCCCTCCCACTTTGGGGCGCGTCGCCACGCCGTGCTGTGTCAGGCTACGCATCCTCATTTCCTCGCTTCCGCGCTGAGTTGTTGTTTCAAAATGCTGCTCTCGCTGAAGCGCTGGCCTCATTTTCGGGCTACCGCGCGTTCCGAGTCGTGCTCCCGCTGCAGCGCTGGCGTCGTTATGTCCAGCGCCATGCCACGGCATGGTTTTCGGTCCTTCCAAATAGTCCCAAAAATCGTTGTTTAATCCAAATAAAAAATGAGGATAACGAAACAAAACAGAACAAAAACAAAACAAAAAAACAAAAAAAAACTGCCTACCGAAGAAACCATCGGAAGTGATTACACCTTCTGTATCGAATCGTTGATTTTTTGGGCCGCAGCAGCCCGCCCCCCGCCGTGGGGCGTCGCCACGCCATGCTGTGTCATGCCACGCGTTGATCTTCGACACCATGATATGCCATGTAATGCTATGCCATGCTGCGACGTCCGATTGTGCAAAGAGAGAGGGGATCTACGCCATAGTAAGGGATGATGGGAGGGAAGGGTAGGACGTCACATATGACGCGAGCGCACCTGGCGTGTCCCCCCCCTCCCTCCCCCCCCCTCCTCCCTCCTCCCTGCCTCTCCCCTCTTCATCATCATCATCATAGTCATCCTCATCTTCCTCCCTCCATCCCTCCCTCCCGCCTTCCCTCCCTCCTCCCGCCTCCTTCCTCCCTCCTCCCTCCCCCCACATGTGACGACGAAGGCGACGGGAACGGCAACGGCGACGGCGGCGGCGGCGAAGATGCCAGCGGCGGCGTCGCCGTGGCGGTCTGGCCGCGGGAGCGGCTCCCACGCACAGGCCGCAGGGTCGACGTCCTGCCTCAGCTCCAGGTCCAGGCCATAGGCCTCTGCCGCCCAATCCGTCCTCGCCCCATCGCTCCTCCCTCATCGCTCCTCGCTCCTCGCGCCTCGCTTCTGCTCTACTTTCTCCTCCTCCTCCTCCTCCTCCTCCTCCTCCTCCTCGTCCTCCTCCTCCTCCTCCTCCGCCTCCGCCTCCTCCTCCTCCTCCTCCACTTCCTCCTCTTCGCCCCTCCTCCCTACTCATGCTCTTCCTCCTTCGCCGCCTCCTCCGCCGCCGCTCCTCCTCCTCATTCAAGCCATAGGCCCATGCCGTCGTCGAACTCGCAGGATATCTTTTCCTCCGACGAAGATTGGAAGTTGGTGGTCGCTCTTGGCCAACTCTAAACCTTTCACTCGCCTCCGAAGGCCTACGGAGGCTTAGTGGAGACATCCAGAAGCCCTCATACCCCTCCTCCCCCTTATCGCTCATCCTTCTCGTCCTCCTCCTCGTCTCCTTCTCATCCTCCGCCAGCGTTCCTTCTCCTCCAGGCCGCAGACATATGAGGCCACCAAGCCTGTTGTTTTCTTCTTCTTCGACGACGATGACAACGACGACGACGACAACGGGGCACTAGTATTGTCGTCCTCCTCCTCGTCCTCATCCTACTCGTCATCATCATGCTCCTCATAAGCAGCATTATCATCAGCATCATCATCGTCAGCATCATCAGCATCATCAGCATAATCATCATCAGTATCATCATCATCATCATCATCATCATCATCATCATCATCATCATCATCAGCAGCATCATCAGCATCATCATCATCATCAGCGACATCAGCATCAGCATCGTCATCATCATCATCGTCATTATCGGCAGCGGCATCAGCATCATCATCAACATCAGCATCATCATCATCAGCATCGTCGTCAGCATCATAATCATCAGCATCATCAGCAGCATCAGCATTGTCATCATCATCAAAATCATCATCACTAGTATGTTTATTACTATGATCATCATCAGCAGTAGCATCATCGTCATCAGGTCACCACCACCACCACCACCCCCGCCAACACCATCACCACCACGACCACCATAATCAGCATCATCATCAGCAGCAGCAGCATCAGAATCCTCATCATGATCATCATCACCAGCAGCAGCATCACCATCAACATCAGCATCAGTATCATCGTCATCATCATCATCACCATCATCAGTATCATCATCACCATTATCATCATCAGCATCATCATCGCCATCATCGTTATCATCAGCAGCAGCAGCACCATCATCATCATCATCATCCTTCATCCGTCATCCGTCATCCTGCATCATGCATCCTTCATCCTCTATCATTCACCGTTATTCTGCTCCTCCTCATCATCATCACCCTTCTCCTCCTCCTCCAACTCTCTCCCGAAGGCACGGGAGCAAGCCCGAACCCTGGCTCCCTTGACACCCCGACGTGGCCGACGCTGGGGGGACGCAGACGAAGAAACCGCAAGGAACGAACACACCGATGGGTTGGAGCAGGAGGAGGCGAGAGGATGCAGATTTTGACACGTGCGCAATCTTGCAATTGGAGAGAAGATGCCTTGCGGCATCCTCACCCGTCGCGCACCAGCGCCAACACACTAGACTGGCGAAGGGCCCAACCATATGCAGTTATGGGGACCGTCGTTGTGAGTATTGCCGTCGGGTGGATCTTATGGGGCCACGAAGCACGCGAAGGGTGTGCCGAAATGTGGCAGGACCGCCATGCGGGCGCTGCCACTGGAGCCTTCGGTGGAGCTCCCCATCGGGCCACGAAACGTGTGAGAGGTGCGCCGAAATGGGGGTGAACCCATATGCGGGCGCTGCCGCTGGGGCCATCTATGGGGCCATGAAACGTGCGAGGGATTCGCCAAAATTCAGGGTGGAACCGTATGCGGGCGCTGCCACTGGGGCCTTCGGTGGAGCTCCGTATAGGGCCACGAAGCGTGTGAGGGGTGGGCCGAAATGGGGGTGTAGCCGCATGCGGGCGCTGCCGCTGGGGCCTTCGGTGGAGCCCCTTAAGGGGTCACGAACTGTGTAAGGGGTGCACCGAAATGGCGGGTGGAACCGCATGCGGGCGCTGCCATTGGGGCATTCGGTGGAACTCCCTATGGGCCCACGAAACATGTAAAGGGTTGTCCCGGACTGGGGGTGGAACTGCATGCGGGCGCTGCCCCTGGGGCCTGGGGTGGAGCTCCCTATGGGGCCACGAAACGTGTGAGGGGTGTACAGAAATGGCGGGTGTACCACATACAAACGCTGCCACTGGGGCCTTCGGTGGAGCTCCCTATAGGAACCATATGCGGGCGCTGCCGCTGGAGCCTTCAGTGGAGCTCCCTGAGTGGCCACGAACCGTGTGAGGGGTGCAACGATATGGTGGGTGGAACCGCATGCCGGCGCTGCCACTGGGGCCTTCGGTGGAGCTCCGTATAGGGCCACGAAACGTGTGAGGGCTGCATGCGGGCGCTGCCACTGGGGCCCTCGGTGGAGCTCCCTAAGTGGCCACGGAACGTGTGAGGGTGCACCGACATGGTGGGTGGAACCGCATGCGGGCTCTGCCACTGGGCCCCTAGGTGGAGCTCCCTACGGGGCCACGAAACGGTGCTATTGGTGCGGAGGACAGAAGCAAGGAATGGGAGGAGGGAGGAGGGGGAGGGAGGAGGAAGGTGAGGTGATGACGCGGGGCGCTGTCTCTTCAAAACGAGGACCCAACACCAGGATGGTTGGACAAAATGCGGAGCCGAGCACGCGCGACATAAAGGAGGAGGTGGAGAGCAGGCTGGCACGTGCAGCAGCAGGCTCGCGCAGGCCGCGGAGGCAGCTCATGCTGCTGAGTCCCACGGCCCCAGGAGGACAGGGCTTTCCCCCACGCTTACCTCTAACACTGGGAACGTACAGTTAACCCAGCTGAGTTAAGGGTAGCTCGGCCGAGCTAATTACAGGCAACGCATCCGGCTTGGAAACGGACGCCGCCCAGGGACGCCGACGTTGGTGCGCTTTGGCGTCGGATCGGTCGAAATCTGCGTCCCATGGAGGTGAGCTTGGCACCGCTCGGGGCCCCGCAGAGGCCACAGGGCGCGCCGCCGCCCAGCGACGTCGATGTTTGGGTCTCCTCCGGCGCCGCACCGCCCCAAATCGAAGTCCCTGGGCAGCGGTGGGCCCGCCGAGAGGGGCCTGGGACTGCTGGGGGCCCAGCCGAGCCCGCAGGGCGCGCCGCCACCCAGGGCCGTCGATTTGGGTATCCCCTGGCGCGGGATCGCCCGAAATCCACGTCCCTGGGCGCCAGATCCCCCGACATCTACGTCTCCCCTGGTCTGGATCGCCCAAATCGCAGGTTGGCAATTCCGCTTGTAGTAGCTCTGTAACTGACGCTGGGTTACCTCTGACTCACGTCAAGTTTCAGGTAAGTGGGCCGCCGCTGAACGACCTGCAACTCAGTTGGGTTACACGAAACTCCAGTAATACCATCTCCGCTACAGGTAGCTCAGCAGAATTTCAGGCAACTCATCTGAATTAACCTTTCACTGTGGATGCAGGAGGATGGCTCGGAGGAGCAGGTGCATGACTTGTGGAACAGGAGGCAACTCCACCTGCAACCAACATTTCTGAGATACTCGGAAGTGCCGTAGCCAATGTCCGCCACCGCGCTACTGTCCCCGAGCATCTCAAGCTCACCGAAGAGGAGCGAAAGGAAAGAGGAGGGGCATGGGGGAAGGATGAGAAGTGGCCAGAGGCAAAAGGAAGAACGTGAGGAGGTGGAAAACAAGAAGGACTCATGAACGCTCAATTCCTCCCATCCTCCTTGTCCTCCTCCTCCTCCTCCTCCTCCTCCTCCTCCTCCTCCTCCTCCTCTTCCTCCTCCTCCTCCTCCTCCTCCTCCTCCTCCTCCTCCTCACCCCCCTGCCGCTCCTCCTCTTACTCCGATGCCTTTTCGTGCTCCTCCTCTTGAATCCTATTCGCCGTCGTCCTCCTCCTCGACTTTCTCACCGTTCATCACCCTCGTCGTCCTCCTCCTCCTCCTCCTCCTCCTCCTCCTGCTCCTCCTCCTCCTCCTCATCCTCCTCCTCCTCCTCCTCCTCCTCCTCCTCCTCCTCTCATCCTCGTTCATGCTTCTGTTCCTACGCATACTCCTTCCCCTTCTTCATCACGACTGCTTCCACCTGAACTGCGCTGCTCCGTTTGCAGGCCTTGTGTCTCAGCCCAGAACGCCGTCCGACCTCCCTATCGCGCCGACTGGCCTTACCTTGCCATGGAGATCCATGTGCAGCGGACGACGGGTCAAGCACTGCAGATGCCACTCAAAGATCAGTGTCTGGCGCTGGCTCCGCTTGGCAGCTGACTGCGAACAAGATCTCACTTCCGTCCAGCCACCGGTTCGAAAACCGACTCCGCTTCCCGCCTCAACTCCAATTCTGGCTCCCATCAACGACGATGGCGACGACGACGACGACGACGACGACGAAGACGACGACGACGACAACGTTGACGACGACAATGACCACGGCGACGACGACGACAACGACAACGTCGGCGACGACGACTTCGAAGACGACAGCGGCGACGACGACGACGGCGGCGACAACGACGACAACGACAAGGATAATTTTAAGAAAGATTGTTCGCTTGTACTGGCATGCATGATGTGCATTCTGTATGCCCCAACCCTCGATACCCGCCCACTTCGTTTTCAATCGCCAACCCTTTCGAGGGGAAGATCTTCCTTGTCGGCCACTGGCTGAAGTACGAGAAATTCTCGAGCGAGAGCGCCGTTCCTGAGTTCGGGGACCTCTCTGGCCAGGCCAGGGGCTCTCGGAATACATAGTGATATATATATATATATATATACATACATACATACATACATACATACATACATACATACATACATACATACATACATACATATCAAGCGGGAACCCTTGTCGCCGTGTCTGGGCCTCCACAAACATGCCTGAATAACGAGAAAATCTCGAGCGAGAGCGCCACTCTTGAATTCGAGGGCCTCTCTGGCAGGGGTCTTCTGCGAATACATCTTGAGGAAGTCCCGAACGAGAGCCCTTGTCGTCGCAGTTGGGCCTCCACCAATTTGACTGAATCGCGAGACAGTCTCGAGCGAGAGCACCGTTCCTGAGTTCGGGGGCCTTCCTGGCCAGGGGCTCTCGGAGAAAACCGTTAGGAAGTATCGAGCAGGAGCACTTGTCGTCGTGGCTGGACCTCCGCCAACTTAACTGGATTGCGAGGGGGTCTCGAGCGAGAGCGCCGTTCCTGAGTTCGGGGGCCTCTCTGGCTAGGGTGTCTCGGGGTACATTGTGAGGAAATATCGAGCGGGATCCGTTGTCGTTGTAGCTGGGCCTCCAAGGGCACACTTTTACACTCAAGCCAACGCGCTCGCGCGGGAGCCTCGTTTTCAGAAAAAAATATAGCCGGCGTCGAGGCGAGAGCGCGCGGAACCGTTTCCAGAGATCAACAAAAATTGTTCTGAAAATGAAACTTCAACGACGACGACGACGATGACGACGATGACGACGACGACGACGACGACGACGACGACGACGACGACGTCGACAACGATAACGACGACGACGACGACGACGACGACGCCGACAACGACAACGACGACAGTCACGACGGCGGCGGCGGCAGCGGCGATGACGACGACGACAGCGGCGACGACGACGGCCGCGACAACGACGACGACGACGACGACGACGACGACGACGACGATGACGACGACGACGACGACGACGACGACGGCGGCGGCGGGGTGCGCCTTGCCCTCGGCGTCCGAGGCGGAGAAGCGCACCCTGTCCTCGCGGGGAAGGCCCAGACCTCAGCCGATCTGAGCGCGCGCTGCCCCAGCAGGCAGGGGGCACCCGGCGTGCAGCCACGAGGAACGCCAAGGAAGGAACAAAGGGGCGTCTGTGGCCACGAAGGGCCTCGGCCACGAAGAGGTTCCCCGACGAGGATCTACGAAACGGCGCCGAAAGCACCGCCCCTCCTGAACCCTAGGTGGTCTTTCGCAAAAACAAGGACAACAAACAAACAAACAAGAAACGTCTTGACCGTATTCCTCCTGAGTGGTCCATATTTGAACGCATTGACCGTGAACGAGAAGAAAGAAGGACGAGGGTACCACAGGGACACCATGTCTCCAAGTGGTGCGCGAGGGGGACTTGGCGATGGCGGGGTTCTCGGCTTGTGCTTTCAAGAGGTCGGTGCCCAGCTCGCGCCATGCCCACTGTTGTATCAGGGAGGGCCCGCCACCATTACCAGAGATGCATGTGATAAATGTGATGCTAAACATCATAGAACACTTTTTTTCTCGGGTGACAGGGGGATATGGTGGGTGGGGAACTTGCGTTTCGATCGGCATGCTGACGTGCATGTCGATGAGCATTTCGATTGCAGCTGGATTCATACGTATTTCGCCTAGAACTCCCGCGATGTTCGTCCCGATGTGCTGCTCATTCGGAGTTCGCCTTCATGCTGATGTGCCCGGCCAGCCGCCCAGGCCGCCCCTGCGCAGCAGGGGCGCCGACGTCTCGGCGATTGGGGCAGGCCGCCCACGGGGGCTCTGCAAAGCGGCGGTTCGCAGAGGCGGGCAAGGGGACGAGGGAAGGTTTCTTAGAAGGAGGCTGCTTCTTGGAAGGCGCGGGCCTTTCACCGATAGGTAACCCCCGCGCCTTCTAAGAAGCAGCGGTGTTTCTGAGAAGCCTTCCCCCTCTCCCCCCCTGCCCCCCTCCGCGTGTGGCTGAGCATGGGCGGGCACATGAGGAGTTCGTCCGTGCGGTGGCACACAATGGGGGCGAGCCCTGCTTCGGCCGGGCCGCGCCGGCGCTGCGCATTCTCGGTCCTCCCCCTCCCCCCCCCCTTCTCTACTCCTGCCTGCGTCCGCCTCCGTCGAGGGTGAAAGGCTGGCCCCATCTGGACCATTCGCAGACGATGCCATCCCTGCAGCGCCCTGATCGGGTTGTCAAATAATCTCCCGACCCCCAATCCTCCTCGAACTCCAATCCTCCTCGAACTCCAATCCTCCTCGAACTCCAATCCAATCCTCCTCGAACTCTAATCGCCCGAACCCCAATCCTCCTCGAACTCCACGCGCTCGGAGCCCTGCCGCAGGTCCCGCACGGAGATGGTCAGGAACACCTGCGTGCGCATCCGCGCGGGACCGAGAGGGAGAAAGGCAAAGGAGGAAGAGGAGGTTGAAGAAAGCGTAGAGAGAGGAGGAGGAGGAAGAAGAGGAGGAAGAAGAGGAGGAAGAGGAGGAAAAAGAGGAGGAGGAAGGGGAAGAGAAGAAGGAGGAGGCGACAAGGAAGAGGAGGAGGAGGAGGAGGAGACTAGAAATGACGGTTCAAGACGGTGAAGATGGCTCTCCATAAAGCAATGCGAAGCGGTGTAAAGCGAGTCACTCGATGTAAAGCGGGCGCGGCGGTTGCAACCTTGAGCCGAACAGCCACAGGAAGCAACCCCCCTACGCACTGGCAAGGGCAGGGTGAGAAGCAGGCAAGGCAAGAGGACAGAACGGTCCGGTCTGGTGCTCAAACAAGTCCGTCGACCTTTGTACAGTAAAACAGACAGCTGCAGAAAAGGATATACTGACCACCTTTCTTATAAAAAGGTTGCCCAGCCGCGAGGGGGCAAGTTCACATGAGGTGGGCAGGTCCCCTGGCTGGCGGGCTTCACTCCATTCCAAGGGTACATTAACCCCCACGGCGGCAAACGCAAAAACGTGACGGCGCCAATGGCAGGAATGGAAACACTCCCGCCAGAGCCCGTGGAACGAGCCTTCACAGGCTCACCGATTCCCAACCTGAAAAGATGCGAGATCATTGAGGAGCACCTGCTAAAGCAACCGCGAGCTGTCCAGACACAGTCCGAGCAAGCCCGTTCACTTGAGCGCTCGATTCGCCAATCTCGCACGTGGATGCCCGCGTGCATATCTGGTGTTCCGCCTCCGTATAACCTTTTGACACAGTCACAAGAGTCATCAGCTCATTTCTGCGTGAATGAGCTCTGCTGTGAGCTCGGGACGGCCTTCTTCAGCTTCCCGTCGCTGAACGTGACCGTGGCGTGGTCATCGATGATCTGGCCGTCCATCACGCTGAGGATTAGCTCTCCACCCATGTTACACTTGGTCATGGGGTCGGCCCGCATGTCCCGAGTGTCGCACCAGCTCAAGTCGCCAACCTGATTGGTGCGCAACTGGTCGGCTGACCACCGAAGGTGGCCAGTCATGCTGTTCTCGGAAGGCGGCCAAAACGGGTCCATGAGCAGGGCGCTGGAGACGGACATGCCGTCTATGACGAGGCCTGCAGAGACCACGCAACCTTATTCCTCCCTCAGCCTGCTGATCTCCTCGGCAAAGGCGGAACCGTGCACCATCTCGTGCAATGTGAGAAGGTACGCCTGCAGACCGACGGCTGCGCCGCATGCTGCGAGCAGCTCGGAACCGAACGAGGATCTGCACACCCTCCTCCACCTCCTCCCCCTCCTCCCCCTCCAACTGCTCCTCCCTCCCTCCTCCTCCTCCTCCTCCTCCTCCTCCTCCTCCTCCTCCTCCTCCTCCTCCTCCTCCTCCTCCTCCTCCCTCCTCCTCCTCCTCCTCTCCTCCTCCTCCTCCTCCTCCTCCTCCTCCTCCCCTCCTCCCCCTCCTCTCTCCTCCTCCTCCTCCTCCTCCTCCTCCTCCTCATTGCTCCTCCTCCTCCTCTCTCCTCCTCCTCCTCCTCCTCCTCCTCCTCCTCCTCCTCCTCCATCTCCTCACTCCCCACTCCTCATCCTCCTTCCCCTGCCCCTCCCCCTCCCCCTGATTCCCCTTGACCCGAGGCGGGGCTGGCCTTCTCCTTCGACTGGCCCCACTTGAACTTGGGCAGAGTCGGCGCCTCGCGCCGCCCAAACCCCCCCCCCCGATCGCGCGGGCGCACGGCGCCGCCGAGGCGAAGCCAGCGACGGCGCGCCGAAGACGGCGCGCCAACGACGGCGCCCCGGCTGGGCAGGCGCTGGCGGGATCGGGCGCCGCCGACGCCGACGGCGAAGGCGCCGCCCGCTCCGGCGGCAGCGGCGACGGGCGGAGGCGACGACGGCGACGGCGACGACAGCGACGACCGCGACGACGGCGCCGACGGCGACTGCGGCGGCGACGGCGACGAAGGCGACTCCGACGGCGGCGTCCAACCGCCTCGGGCGTTGGCAGGGCAGACGGTCCAGGATTCGAGGATCGAGGGCACAAGGATGCAGGATCGAGGGTTCAAGGGATCCAGGGATCCAGGGATCAAGGATCGGGGATCATGGGAGCAAGGATCGACGGTCGAGGTTCGAGGAAAGAGACTCTGGGATCGAGCACCGAGGATGGAGGACCGAGGATAGCGGATCGAGTGTTCGAGGATCGAGGATAGCGGACCGAGGATAGCGGACCGAGGAGCGGACCGAGGTCTTCGACCGCTCTTGCCACTAGCTGGGCCTCTGGGAGCCTCGGGGGACCAGCGGCGCCTCAACCGTCGTCGTCGTCCTCGCCACTGCCGCCGCCATCGCCGTCGTCGAAGTGGCGAGAGCGATACCCAGACAGCGTAGGCGCCGGCGGGCGCTGGCAGGGCAGACCACCCAGATCACAGAAATCGGGCCGCTCGAAAAGTCGAGGCGGCCGTCGTTTCGCCAATCTCGGCCTCTGGGAGCTGTCTCTGGGCCCTAGGCCCACCCAAAACTGGCTCAGGATGCTAAACTGATCCCACAAGCACATGTTCCAAAGAGATCGAGACGCCAGATGTCTGGAAATCAAGTGTGGAGGACTCAGTAAATCGGACGCTCAGCCCTGTCTGAGCCTCTTGAAGCTCCTGGGGCCCGGGAGCCTCCACGGGAACCTCCGCAAGCATCCAGAAGGGCACCCCGGGAACCTAGCTGGAGGAGGAGGAGGAGGACCCTCAGATAAGGGCATCGTCAAAAACCCCGAACACGTCGGGTGTTGTCGCCCCGGCGATCCAGCTCGGAAAGAGGCCGCAGAAAGGTGCGCACGGGAGCAAATACTCAATGTCGGCAGCTCTCCCAGGAGCGAAAGCGGGGACCAGGACGGCGTAAACCCCTCGAGGGCCCCGGACCTGACCAAAATCGGCGCGTTCGGACACCGCGCCGACCACCGCACCCCCAACATGGAGGAAATCATCTAAAACGTCGGCCAGCGCCTAAGTGGTCGAGAACTCGGGCTGATTTCTGTTCACGGCGTCGTGGTCCACGCGCTGCGTCAAGAGCCGACGGTGTGGGTGGGCACCCAGCAGGGTGGATGCCAGGCATCGCAGAGCCCAGCAGGGTCCCTCCCTTCCTCGTCCTCCACAATCTCATTCTCAATGACCTCCTCCTCCTCCTCCTCCTCCTCCTCCTCCTCCTCCTCCTCCTCATCATCATCATCATCATCATCAGAAGCAGCAGCAGCATCATCCTGTAACAACGACATCATCAGCAGCAGCAGCAGCAGCAGCAGCAGCATCATCATCATCATCATCATCATCATCATCATCATCATCATCATCATCATCATCATCATCATCATCATCATCATCATCGACCTCCTCCTGCTTCTCCTCAACATCATCATCACCAGCATGATTATCAGCAGAAGTATCATCACCACCACCATCGTCATCATCATCAGAAGCAGCAGCAGCAGCATCAGCATCAGCATCCGAATCATCATCACGTTGGTCATCACTACCAGCATCATCATCCCATCATGATGTTCACAATCATCATCACCATACCCCTCCTCCTCCTCCTCCTCCTCGTCAACATCATCGTCATCGTCATCGTCATCGTCGTCGTCGTGATCTTCAGTATACCCATCATCATCAGCACAACCACTAATGTCATCATTATCATCAGCATCAATATCAGCAGCATCACAGTCAGCGCCGTCATCATCATCGCCACCACCACCACCACCGCCGTCGTCATCGGAATCATCATCGTTATCATCACATCACCATCATCAGAGTAGTGTTACGAAAAATGATGCCAGTAAACATGATGGTATCAATAATACTAACAACCATGATCAGCATCAGCAGCATCATGATCAGCAGCAGCATCAGCATTACCATATCATTATCATCCTCGTCCTTGTCCTCCTCCTCCTGGGTCTTATCAACATCAGCATCACCACCACCATCATCATCAGCAGCATCATCACCACCACCACGACCACCATCATCATCAGCAGCAGCAGCATCAGCATCATTATCACGTTTGTCATCACTACCAGCACCATCAGCCCCATCATAATATTCACCATCATCACCATGCCCCTCCTCCTCGTCGTCAACCTCATCATCATCGTCATCGTCGTGGTCTTGATCATCAGTATACACATCATCATCAGCAGCACAACAACGAATGTCATAATCATCATCAGCAGCATCATTATCAGCAGCAGCAGCAGCATCATCATCATCATCATCATCATCACCGCCACCACCACCACACCGTCGTCGTCATAATCATCATTATCATCGTCATCATCATCACCTCACCGTTATCATCAAAATAACAATCATCATCATCTCTTCGTCCTCATCATCAGAATCAGCATCATCAACACCATCAACATCATCATCATCATCATCATCATCATCATCATCAGCAGCACATTCCTCGTGCCTCGTGCTTGCTCACTGATTGACTCCTGGTCATCTCTCTTCTACTCGCCATGCTCCTTTTCCTTCTCCTACTCCTCCTCCTCCTCCTCCTCATCATCATCATCATCCTTTTCCTGTTACAATTCCGCCTCCTCTTATCTCCTCTGTAGAGCGAGACCCGATCGAATGCCGCCACGCCAGCCGGTGACTGCGCGGAGGCAGAGGGGAACTTCCGACGCGGGGGAAACAGGAATGGAGGCGAGAGGGGGAGGGGGAGGAGAGAAGGAGGACGAGGGAGGACAAGGCAGCATCTGCAGGAGAAACAGGACGCGGAGAAGCAGCAGCAGGAGCAGGAGAGAGGAAGACGACGACGACGACGACGACGACGACAACGACGACAACGAAGACGAAGACGAAAACGACGACGACGACGACGAGAAAGTGCGAAATTAAGAAAAGCAGCGAGAGGGGTTCCAAGAGGGCGTCGGATAGCTTCCGAAGTTTCGATCAGTCCGATGGTCGCTCAGATGATCTGTCCAGAGCCCAAACAGTTCGCCAAAGACTGCCTCGGAGACCCAAATGGGGACGGCGTTTGTTCACCCCCATTTTTGTTGGGTCAGTGCCTGAGCGACTCGAAAGAACATCCATGAGTAAAGCACTGGCTGCGAGGAGGACGTGACGCCCCTCTACATGAGCCAGGGTGGCGGAGTCCCGCTGCAGAAGGAAGCTGGGAGCACCTTACCAAAGGCATGGTTGGATACACGGAAAGAGGGCGGGGAAAACGAGGATTCTTTTCATCCATCAACGCAGCGAACATTGTAAACTCCACCCTCGAGCACTGCAAAAACACGACAGCATGGCTGCGCCGAAGGGTGAGGTGGAGGGGGGCGACTGACCGCCACCGAACCGCACGCGTCCACAGGCAGTATTCTCCAGGTGAGACCGAGTAAAGCCGAGCGGGGCCGAGCTGGAGTGGCCAGCCAGATAGAGTCACCACATTCGTTCAAACGAGGAGGCGAAGGAGGGGGAAACCGCAGACTAGACACTAGCGTTGCGCGTGCAACCCCCGGCCCAAACGACCGCTCATATACTGCGGCACGGCCCAGCGACGATCACATTGAAACAGCACTGCGCAAGCGATACGAAGTGACCCAGGGAGCGTAACAGCAGCAAGGGGGGAGAGAGGAGGGGGAGGAGGAGGAGGAGGAGGAGGAGGAGGAGGAGGAGGAGGAGGAGGAGGAGGAGGAGGAGGAGGAGGAAGAGGAGGAGGAGGAGGAGGAGGAGGAGGAGGAGGAGGAGGAGGAGAGAGGGAGAACTGCAAGCCAGAAGAATCATGAGCTGGGCATTGTGGGGCGCGGCGCCCCCTGCCACGCAGGAGAGCACGACCGCATCCCCGGGCGGCCCAGGCCACCGAGGCTGGCAGAACCCGACGAGACGTGCCGCTGAGCCGACGAGGATGCGGGCAATAGTTCTATCCACATCCAGTGCGTCTTGGATTCTTGGGCTCTCTGCCCCAGAAACCGCAGACGCACTGGATATGGACAAAAATCTGGCCCCAAGAGGCTTGATTTTATCCATATCCAGTGCGCCTCGGCGTTGCGGCACCTCTTCCCGAAAAGTCCACGACGCAGAGGACAGACAAAGGTCGGAGCGCGGGAGAAGGAACACGGAGTGGACGCCAGGCCACAGCCCAGGGCTCCACGGGCGGGCCGAACACCCTCCAGCAGCAACGACCGTCTCTTCGCGTCGGCGGCGGGGCAGAGGCTGCTGCTCCGGCGATCGGGCACCGGCGGGGCGCGCTGGATGCAAACTGGGCCGCAAAATGCACGGGAGGAGAGGAGGAGGCCCCGGCGCAAAAGGAAGAGAGGAAGCTGAGCACGCAGAGCAAACTCAGGCACACGCGGAAGCCAAGGAGCAAAGAGCGCGAGCGAGTGGCTGTGGGACACCCGCGGCGCACCGAGAGGCCACCAGACGCGTCTGCCCCCGCAGAGGGGGGGGCAGAGGCTTCCGAGTGGGCGGGCGCCCTGGGCGGGGCCCAGAGCCACCTTGCAAGATGAATCAAAGAATACCCAAACTCGAGGAAGAAAAAACGCCATAAACATAAACTTGTGGCGCTCTACGCGGATTTCTTGGATTCGCGCTGGGTCCCCCCTCCCTGGCGCGCGGAGCGCGCCAGTGGCGGCGCCAGAGGCGCCGCCGGGGGGCCCAGTCGCGGCAAGAAACTCGTGCGGAGCTCCAAAAGTTTATGTTTCTGGCGTTTTTTCCTTCTTTCACAAACAGCCATCGGAGGATGGGGAAAGGAAGGAGGACGTAGAGCAACCCGCGTCGAGCCCGACGCCAGGCACACACCATCATCCTGTAGGCCGTCAGAACTCGTCGATCAGGGCCTGCTGAGCTTCTGGATGATAAAAGCTAGTCGATGCCGTATCGAACTGGAGCCGTCGGAGCTGGTGTCGGAGCTGGTTTCCAAGCTGGTGTCGATGCCAGTGTCGATGTTGGTGGCAGTGCGGATGTCGGTACTGGCGCCCGTGCTGGTGTCGGTGCTAGTGTCGGTGTTGGTGTCGATGCTGGTGTCGATGAGGATGCCGGCGTCCGCTGACGCGCTAGCCCTGGAGCTGTCGTCGAGGGTGGTGACACTGTTGATGCCGCTGCAGGTGTCGGTGCTGGTCCCGATTATGACGTCTACGATGTAGTCAACGCGCCATGATCTGGACAGCGACGTGTCGCTCGAATAATACCATTGTGGGAGCGTTCGGCTCCGTAGTGCAAAAGATCGGCGTGTTGCTCGGCTCCTGCGCAGTGACCGGGTAGCGCTGGATGCCGTAGGACAGGATAACGGCTTAGTGGGTATCGCGGTAGGCCGCCATCACAAAAGGACGTGTAGCGGCTCGGTGTTCGATCCGGTCGCGGTGGCCCATAGTATTGCTGGGTAGCATCGTGATGCTCGATCCCGCCGCAGATATCGGCCACGCAGCCGTGATGAAATTGGGCGGGACCCCACCGCAACGCATAACAATTCATCAAGCCGAGACAAAGGTTCAGAGAGCGCCCCCCCTCCACAGTGAACCCCGTTGCAGGCTCGTTTCGACAGCACTGGGTATCCACATGGTGCTCAACTCTGCTGTGGCGGAGTCCGTGGCAGAGCTCGGATCCGCAGGCCTGGCCGGCGACGCGGCGTTCGTCTCCGTCGTGAAAGGACACCGTATTGGTAATCCGCATCTTCTACCATGCGGGAGTGGAGGGTGCCGCACTCTGGCCGGCATTCCCGCGCGTACAGCAGGAACTTGTCGTGCTGCTGAACTTGATACAGGACTGTCGGTCACCGTCGTAGTGCTCACCGGTAAGTGTGAGAATCGAGGGTGCTGCACGCCGTCGCGTTGTCCCCTGAGCTGGTGCCCCAATCGGACTCGGAATTGGGGTAGGATCTGGAGTCGGAGAGACGAAGCCGGAGTCGGAGATGACGACATACCCGGACTAGGCAATAGAGGGCGAGCTGACGCTGGATGCGGGGTCAATGAGGTCCCGGGGGCTGCGCTAGAAGTCTGTGCCAGAGCTGACGACGGTAGGGTGTTCGGGGCTGGAGTTGGGGCCAGGGGCAGAATTGGAGTGGGAGCTGCGGTCGGAGCTGGAGCCGGAGTCTCCCCTTTGAAGCTGAGGTCGTAATTCTGTCCTCGATCGTGCTGTCCGCTGTCGTGTTGGTGATCACCGTTGTCTTTGCGCGCCGCCGTACTGCCCGTTGTCATCTTAATGGGGTCCGCTGAACTGGCATGTGTTATGCGAAAGCACCGTGACAACCTAAAGGGTCGCCGAGGGGGGCACGATTTGTCCCCCGAATCTCGGCCACGTTCGCAGGACAACGTTTGGGTATGGTCAGCCTGTCGTGCACGACGCGGTGCTGACCAGTCGTGGTGGCCGTCGTACTCGTGGAGGTGTTGGGCGCCGTGGGCATGAAACTCAGCGCCAGCGTGCTGCTGATACCCAATGCATTCAATGAGGGCGAGGCGGAAGTCTTCCCCCGCGCTCTGCCAAACGACGTGGGCGTGCCGCTCCTCATCGTCGTGCCGTGGGTGCCGGAGCCAGTCGAAAAACACGTGGGCGCAGTCGAATCCCTGGAGCGGTTGGCCGTTATGATGGCGCCGCTCAGCGACGCCGTGCCGCTGTTGTGCCGCTAACGCCCGATACGCGCGATCGACTCGTGGTCAATGTCGCTGCTCAGGAGCTAGCTGTTGGTCGGCACTGTCGGGCCCTTCAGCGCATTCATGACGCTGGTTTCTTGCCCGAGCGGAAAAAAAAAACTCGCGTCGCTGGCGGTCGCGGCCGTGCTGCGCAGCGCCGTCGTGGCGTTGAGACCCGATGCGATCGTCGCACTCGTGGGGGGGCCGAGAGCTACCTGTGACAATTACTGCCCGGGGGGTGGTCCGACGGTCAGATCTGGCTACCGCACTCGGTTCCTGCAGGTGCGTAAAGACGCCGTGTACCACCGTGGGCCCAGCTTCCAGGCCCAGATGCGGGAGTGACTTGGCGAACGCTCCCAACAAAAATGGTTAAAGCAAAATGGCGATCGCCAGTGCGCCCGAGTCGGTGCGCCAGATGCCTGGCACCTGCCACTTAGTCGGTCTGCCAAATACCTGGTAGATATCACGGGGTCGATGGGCCACGAGCCCGAGTCGGAGGTGGAGTCGAACCGGAGTCGGAGGTGGAGTCGAGCCGGAGTAGGAGGGCGGGGAAGACTGGGACGCAACTCCTGATTTTCGTGGGAACGATTGCAGACGACTATGCCCGATTGAGGGGCTATGACACAGCAGGACTGAGCCCAGGCTTCAGCCAGCTTAAGCCCGAGTAGCCAGGAGTGGACAATATGAACTGGCGTTCGGCCGATTTTCGACCACGGATGTACCAGCGCCGATCGCGAGTTGGACCTACCAGCAGCTGCAACCGAGGGGAGGGGCCACGAGCTGGTAGACTGGTAGAGCATGCCTGTTCGACGCCGGCACTCTTCGCAGAACCGAACGCGGGCAACATCACGGATTCGGCGTCCCTCTGGGCCTCAGATCTTGCGGAGGCCGACGGGCTCTCCCAAAACGCTTGCCTCCGAAGCCCGAACGTGGTATAGACACCTCCCGAAACCCGGTCTGGCACCGGCGTGTCCCGCGGAGCACCGAGGGGGCAGGGCAGCGAGGGAGCCCAGCCCGAAGAGCGCCCTGCCGCCTCGCTGCTCACCAAGCGGCAGCTGCGGAGCAGAGACATCACGGTGTAGAGGTACCTGCGGGAGCACCCGAGCAACACACTTTGAGGGATGGAAAAGCCACCCTGCCCTGGGTTAGAACTGCGTGGTCTGTAAACCTCCTGGGAACCCCCAAAGCCTAGAGAGCCGCCAGGACGCCGCACCTCACGCAGGGTTTGCCCTGTCAGCCCACAGGACTTTCAGCGCACAGCGCCTCGTAAACCAGGGTACAGTCGAGGCGTTGACCTAAGGAACCCTAAATAAGGAACGAGGCCCCTATTTCCCATAAGTGAAACTTCGATTTCATATCGAAAACCTAAGGAAAACCTAGGGCAAGCTGTGAAATGACCAAGGAACACCGAGCCCCTCCCCAACAAAAAGGGGTCCTTCTTCAAGGCCCCGACTGTAGGGGCGTTTTGTACGCCCTTGAACACTGGAGATGCCAGGAGCCGCCACGGAGGCCCAAGAACTACGCGCCTGGGCGGGCGGCTCCATGGCCTTCACGACGCAGACACGGGATTTCGACACCGCGCGAACCCATCGAAGCTTGAGCGATCTCGTCTCGCAGAAGGTCCCCGGGTGCGCTCCACCCCATGACTTTCGCACGGAGATCGGGCCGCGAGGCGATGCGTGTGGGCCCTGAGCCCGAAGCGGGTCCCCAAAGGGCGTTCAGCCTTACGCGCTCTCGTTGGAGCCGCCGCACCCCGTTGGCGGTTCCTCGTTGGCATTCCCAGGTGGCGTACCTGCAACATCGCGATGATGATCATAAGGGCTGTGAAACGAAAAGGGTCGGAGGTGCCAAATCCAGTGTTTCGGTTGAGACGTCCCCACAGTTTGGGCGCGAATTGGCCAGTGTCCTAGTCAATCCCTGACGGTTCCCCCTTGAGGTGGACAAGTGCTATGCCTCCTACATCGCGGTGATCCTGGGACCCTGGAAGGAGAGAGGTCGCAGGTGCAAAACGAGCGACTCACTGAGACATTCCCACGGATCTGGGCGCGAACGGGCAAGTGTCCCACCCCCTGGTAGCTCTCCCTTGAGGTGCCCAAATGTTATGCCTGCCTCATTGCTGTGATCATGAGGCTTCTCTAAACATGAATGAGTCTGGACATGAATGAGTCTTCCTATGGGAAACTGAATGTAGGTGAGCTTGAGTGTGAGCCTGAGGCTGACTATGAGTGAGCCTGGGCGTGTATGACGTGAGAGCGAGCGGTCTCCGTGCATGGGTACGGTGCGACTGACTCTGACTGGGATTACGAGTGGATCTCTGAGTGTGGGTGGTCTCAGCACGAGCGCGCTGGAGCATGAGCGGGCTGGTGTAAGTATGGGCGCGTCTGAGTGTGAGTCTGAATGGTATGACCGCATGCGGTCTGTGTGGGCGCTTAGCAGCACGAGCGGCCGAGAGTGTAAGCGCGGACCTGAGTGAGAGCGGGCGGAGGGTGCGCGGGAATGAGGTGGTTGAGTCTGGGAGATAATGGGTCTCGGTGATGGTTTTGCGTGCGGGTTAGTCTGAGTACACGTCGTTCATTTTTAATCGTGCTCATTTCTAATTGTGCTCGTTTCTAGTTGTTCATGGCCCCCTAGTGGCCAGGAAGAGGCCCAGGATAGAACAATTAGAAATGAAAGGATCTTGGCCCAAAAAAACAACTTTCGAAGAATTAGAAATCAACAATGTGTACGACTCCAAGTGCACGCTGGGAGCGGCAAGAAGGAAGAGGCAGGTTTACGGAGGCGGGGGCATAAGGAATAAGGGCCCCACGCATTGGATATGGGGCTAGGCAGCCTCAGGAGCTGCCTCCGTCATTTCGGCTAGACCAACTCAACAAACACTGCTGGAGTTCTGGCATCCGCCACGCGCAGTTTGTCAAAAATTTCCAGGGTCCAATTTTGGTGGGGTGGTGGCAACGGCTGTCACGGTCCACCTTCGTTCCGCTGCGTGGCCTACTCGGTATCTGCACTGCCACCAGATGACACATCATCTTCGTCGTCACCAGTACTCTGCCAGGACTGTGGATTAAGGCTATGCAACGCATACCCAACTAGACTGCGGTCTGCTGTTTGGTGCAGGGCGCCACTTTTGCACAGTCCTCAACAGGCTGCCAGTTGGGGTTTACTCAGGCGACGGGTGTCCCCCCTTGTCAACCCTTCCTCGGCACAATGATTGTTCAAAGGCGGCCAGCTCGCAGACCTGGCAGTTTGGTGCGTGCTCCTCCTCATCCTCATCCTCATCCTCCTTCTCATCCTTTCCCTCTTCCAGTTCTGGCGCACTGCACACCACCAATGGCCCTTCGAGTCGAAATCGAACACGTCGACAACGCAACGATCTGTTGACGAGATGCGCAAGAGCTCGCGCGAGGCAACGAGAGCCATCATCATGCGTGACCATCGCGCGGCTCTACAGATCCGAACGCGGCTCGTGTCGATGGCCCTATCAAGAACGCAGCACGCACTCCAGCCAAGTCCCCATACCCACCCGGGGTTCGCCCTGGCCCGTTTTCCACGCAGATCGGTTTGACGGTCCCAAGCCGCTGAGTAAGAGTCGTCCGCTGGAAATGTCGAGGGAGGGCATAACCCACTTTTATAGAGGGCAGAAAATCCACCACCAGAAATAATCACCCCGACAAGCAAAGCCGTTCAGCAAACGCACCCACAGCAGGAGTGGAACAGGGCAGGAGCTGTTTCGCAAACGCCCGAGGGCCGCTCGGTGAACGTCAATGATCGGGTCCGGGTGTTTTTTCTCCTCCCCTGATTTATAGCAGGACACCATTCACTGAAAAAAACAACCTGGGACCCTCAAAACGACGAGCGCAGGCCCGCAAAGAAGCTGCGGGCGCAGCACCCCTCCTGGGAGAGCGAAGCTGGTGCAGTCTGCTTTCCACCACCACCACCATAAGTTGGAGGGGGGAAGGAGGTGGAGGACGAGGAGGAGGAAGAGGAGGACGAGGAGGAGGAGGAGGAGGAGGAGGAGGAGGAGGAGGAGGAGGAGGAGGAGGAGGAGGAGGGAGGAGGAGGAGGAGGAGGAGGAGGAGGAGGGGGAGGAGGAGGAGGACCCCCTCCCCCTCCAACTGGTGATGGTGGTCGTGGAAAGCAAGCCCATCAGACCTGGCAGGGGTGGGGCTCTGCCAACCTGCCAGAGGAGTGCGACAGGGGGCCGGAGCTGCGGCGCGCAGCAGGGCGGCCCTTCCCGTGGCGGGAGGCCGGCCCGCCCCGCGGCGCGGCGCGCCGATCGAAGTCTGGCATCGGTGGCATCGCCGACAGATCGGCGAGGGGCCCCCGATACGAAGTCCGCACGTTCCTGGGCGGGGTGGGCCATCGGGCCCCTTCTCGGCGAGGAGTTGGAATAGGAAGTCGAAGGCAGCATTGACCTGCCCAAAGAGTGACTTCCCCGTCGAGTCCACGAGAAACGCACCGAATACTCCTTGCATCTACGGGGCATCCATTGTAACTACGCCTTTGGTGTGGACTCGGCGGAGAGAGATCACTGTGGGGGCAAGGAAGAGGGGCCGCCGAGCCCCTGCTCGAAGGGGCGATTGGGGGCCGATGCCCTCCCCCCAAGCCCGTTCCCCCCTCACGCCGCCCCTGAGCGGGCACGCGACGCGGGGCCGGCGCCGCGGCGAGCCGCAGGGCGGCCCTCCGGCGGCGGAGCGCCGCTGCGCGCGCGCCCCCCTGTCGGGTGCCATCCCGCGGGGGCCCGGCGGGCGCGGCCTCGCGCAGCTCGAGCCGCTCCGGGGGCGCTGCGCCCCGCGCTGCCCGGGCGCCTGCGCGGCGGGCCCGGCGCCTGCACAAAGGCCGGCGGCCAGCTGCAGGCGGTGAGGCAGCGCGCGAGCCAAAGACCTCCCAGGAGGCCCCCCCTGGAAGGCCCGGAGACGGCCCAGGAGGGCCGCAGAGCTGTCCAAGATGCGCCCAAAAAGCCCTGGAGGTCCCCAATGGGGGAGAACTCGTATGGGCCCCGGGAGCCTTCCTCCACAAGCGGCACTGGACCCCGCCCTCCTTGGGCACTGCGGCACGGCATCTGGCACGAGTGGTCTTCGGCGGCGCGCCTAGAATCGAGGTCCCAGGATGGTCCAGGTTCTCGCGCGTTCTCGGCCCTTTTCCTAGCCTCTGCAGCCCCCCTGGGGCCTCTGGGAGCCCCTGGGAGACCTCCAGGGGTCCACGCTCGAGCCGCTCTCGTCCCCGCCTTCCTTGGGCGCTGTGGCACGGCACATGGCAAGAGTGGCACTCGGTGGCGCGCTTGGGTGGATGGGGTGACGATGTCATCGCCGTTTTGTGTTTGTTCTGTGCGTTCGTAGTGGTTCACGGCTGGACGCAGCTCGAAGAAATAGGACGGACCCTGGGAGGGGTCCGAGGAACGGTCTTGAGCAGATGTGGGCCACATCGGGGGACATCAAGCACCCACGTGACCCATCATGACCCGGCCCGCAGCGACGCGTATGCACCGGTCCTAGGCCCAGGATCGATCTGGTCCAGATCGACTGCCGCGCCCACGGCGGCCGCGCGGCTCGGTTTTGGTGGGACGCGTGCCCCCAGGCCTGTCGAGCCCTTCCCCGTGGCAGATTTTCTTCCGGGCATTAAGTGGCGAAGAGCCGGCCGCCTTGACTGTCCTGAGCCGAGCCGTCGGATGTCTGGGGAGCCAGCGTGGTTGCAGGCCCGGGCAGCGTGCCGAGGGGGCCGCTGCGAGGGGGCGGCCTCGTGAAAAGGTAAGGGGGCTCCTCAGGAGCCCTCCCGCCTTCTCAAACGCCGTGCCCTTCACCGACTTCCCACACCATATGCCCTCACGTCGCTTCCCTTGCCTGCTGCACCGCCCTCCGAGGATGCATTCCCCCGCGCGACAGCGATGACGACCCCGCCCTCCGAGGATACATGGTCGGGGACTCTGCGTCCGCCCACCCTGACCCTCCGCTGAAGCTTCGGTGCACACGCCCCTGCCGCGCTTCTTGTACCTCGCTCCCCCTCCCCAGGCATGCCTCCGTGAACAGCCCCCGCGCCGTCCGTTCCTCGACGTCTGGGAGGGCGGTTTGGAAGACTGCCCGCGTGCACGCGCAGCCCCATCGCTGGCCGACAGGGAGGGCGGCCCCCACAGGGCAACGACCTGACCGAGGGGGGCACGACGGAGTACGGCGGGACAGACAACCTGCCCGCGTCAACCTGCACGGCCTTGTCCGTCGCCGGCCGACACGGACGGTGGTCCCGACACAACACACTGACCGCTGCCCGCGCAGCGGGATACAAGGCGAGAGCGGGGAGCCTCCGAGTCCGGCAGCCTGCAGGGGCCACACGACATGCGCCCCGCGCGTGGCGGCCAAGGCAGGCTCACCGACACGCCAGAGGAGCAACCGCAAAGAGGAGCGACGCCGTCATGTTGTGTACGTTTGCGCTTGGGATGGCGTGCGCGTTCAGCTGTTCACTGCTGCCCTCTGCTTGCATGCTCGTTGGTACCATCCTCCTGCGAACAGAGTCGCGTGCGCGACAGCGAGTACGTTACAGCCCATCCATCAATAACGATGCGGGGCAGCTGGACCCTTACTTTCTGGGCTTGGCGCATCCACGACAGAGTGGCCCCTCTGAGCACGCAACTTTGATCCAACGACACTCTCATACTCAAAAGAAAGCAAGCAAGTATGTCAACAAAGCAAGAGCAGCATGCCTTCTCTGGTCACTGGCAGAAGCGACTGACGACCTGCAGCGGCATCAGAAAAACTTCTGCGCCGAAGCCCACCTGGCAGTGCAGAATTGCAAACGAAGCATCCGCAACATCTTCACGCAAGTGTTCTCGAATACATGAGCCCCCCGAGCGGACTCACACATTCTGCTACCATGGGGCGTCTGGAAAGGACATGCATCCGAGTCGGATCTGCAACAACGCTTCCACAGAAACCGAGCGGCTGCCAGCGCCTGGCGTGCAACACGCAAAGCAGCTCGACAAGTCCCAATGCTCGTGTATATCTATATGTATATACACACACGTCAATCCGCCGTCCCGTCGCGGGCTGCCAGCCGGGCCGCCTGGCTGCTGCAGTGCTGTCCCGGCTCGCTGCTGGAAGGCGAGCCCGTTCATCGTCGGACCCCTGGGCGAACAGCGCAATGGCAGAAGAGGGCGAGGCTGCCCTCCACTGCACGGTGCTGATTGCTTCCTTGCTGCATGCGGCGAGCAAGCAGAACAATAGTACACATGTGCAGATGAAACACAGAATGGGACAGAGGAGACAGAGAGAGAGAGAAGAAAAAGAGAGAGACAGAGAGGGAGAGAAGAGAAGGAGACAGGAGGTATAGTGGGGGAACGGGGGGAACAAAGAGGCGGGGGAGACAGGCAGAGGGAAACAGACCAAACATGCATACATGCACATACATATATAAGTAATGCATGCATGCACACATACATTACATAAATAAGTAGATAAATAAGTACGTAAGTGAATGCATACACACAAGCATACATGAATATATATATATATACAGACATACATACGTACATACAGACATACATGCATGCATGCATGCAAGCATACATACATTCATATAAGCAAATAAACAAGCATGAGTACATACAGACATACATACATACAAACAAACATGCATACATACATACGTAAATACATACCTTCAGTCATTCATTTATACATGCATGCATGCATGCATGCATACATGCATACGTACATACATACATACCTGCGTACATACATATTTATACAGACAGACAGACAAAATGACAGACAGACAGACAGACAGACAGACAGACAGACAGACAGACAGACAGACAGACAGACAGACAGACAGACAGACAGACAGACAGACATACAAAAATACAAATACTAATACATATACATATACATATATATACACATATATCGAGAGATATATAGAAAGCAAGCGAGAGAAAAAAGAGAGAGAGAGAGAGCACGGCAATAAGAGCGTGAGCTGCAACAAGTGAAGCATACAAGGTGAGCAACAGGCTACAATGGAAGCGAACCCACATGCCAGCGGGCAGAAAAATACCGATTGCGTATTCCAAACCGCAATGCGGAGGGAATGCCCGAGGGAAAAAGAGAGACTGGGAATGGAAATTTCAAGATAAGGGCGCCTGCGACTGAGAGAAGGAAATGGATAGAAACTGATCTTGGCATAAATAATACGGACGAGACGGAAAATAGCACGATTATGAAAACGAGAGCGTGAACGAAAGCGAAAGGGCGTATAAAGTACCCTCATCCGGAACACTTACACGACAAATGGCACACGTCGGCCCCAAGGAAAAGAGAAGACGTGAAATGCAACGTTTGCTATAGACAAACGCACAATTGGAGTTCTCGCTGCTGCATATAGCACCCTCTGCATGTCCGACGCGAAGAAAGACTATAACGAAAGCAGAACCCACTGCACAAACCACGGATGAAGAAAACACGCTGCCGTAGACCATACCACGGAGGCGGCTACGATGGCAACTGCACCGCGGAAGTCGCTTCGCATTTGTTTGCCACTTCACGCCATCGCGATGAACTACAAGGGGGTAGCAAGCTGCGCGGGCGCCGCAATAGTTCACCGCCGCTCCGCTTCGACCAAGTGTACGAAGTGCGGGCCAGTCGCATCCAAATCGCAGCCATGTGGCACTTTACACAATACCGAATGCGGCGTTGTAACGTCGCGTTTCCCAACAACCCGTCCGTCTTAAAATCTGCCTCAACCGTTGATCGGTCCTGGAGCCACCGGTCCTGACTACGAGAGCGACCCTCAAATGAAATCCGAATTTTCCGGGCGTCATGGAATCATACCAAAACTCGGTCGTCCCGAATTGTTGGCGAAACCGCCACGGTCTGGCGGCACGACTTGGGACTGGAAACTCTGGGCGGTGGAAACTCTGGCGAGTTCTCAAGCTTCTGGCGGCCTGAAAAATTATCCGTTTGTCCTGGATGGCCACCAGGAAAGCCCCAAACAGTGATTGCATTGACATATCTTAAGGAAGTGGGCCGTTTCCTCGGTTTGGTGGCTATGTTCCCGCCGTCGCCGCCCCGTCGCCGCCCCGTCGCCGCATCGCATAGATTCTCCTTTCTAGAAAGAGAATAGACTCGATCCCCCCCCCAGAGTTATCGCTACCCCTGTCGGGTATGTAAATCATGTACGATTATGATCACATGTCCATCCGAAATATGAAATCACAATGCCCCAGGCCAACCGGGTTCCCCCCCCTGAGGTTCCCTTGTAAAAAAAACTATGCGGTGACATTTTTTGTTCTAACATAACACTTGTTCACGAATCCCTGGCAAAAAACGGGACGAAGTGCACACGCGCGCGCCGTCGCGCGCGCATGCCGAAATCCTTCAAAAACCTTCGGTGTCGGAAGGATTCCGCAATCGAGTTTCCAAAAAACCTACGAAAACACAAGGTTTTACAACACTGATTTGCTAATAAAACTTACGCGCGAGCTCTTGCGAAATCTTATCAAACGGGCTTCGCGCGCGCGCATGTCGAAATCTGTCGAACGCCCTTGCGCGTGTGCCGTCGCGAGAATCCTTTGCAAAAAAAAAGACGAAGTGCAGACGCGCGCGCCGTCGCGCGCGCGTATGCCGAAATCCTTCAAAGCCCATCGGTTTCGGAAGGATTTCAAAATCGAGTGTCCAAAAAACATACAAAAACACAAGGTTTCGTCGATATCATCATCATCGTTTTCGCTCCTCCCTCGTCGTTCTCATCATCAGCGTCGCCGTCCTTCCTCCTTCTTCGTCGTTCGCGTCGTCGCCGTCC